AATCAAAACTGTATCATATGCCCTTAAACAAACATATATATCGACGGCAACATTAATATGCTAAATTATGCTGTTGAAGCATAGATAGTAGACATCAAAATTACATTTTTGATAACAGATTTAATTTAACAAAGCTATTATAAAGGCGTAGGTATTTTTTCTTTCTGAATTTCAATTTACATAAGTATTAATATTACTATGTGTAAGATTAGTATTCCACATTTTACTTAGGACTCAGCATATTCAAAATCAACGCGAGATCTCGCGTTGTCCCCATGAGACGGTCAGTCGAAAATGTAGTTGGTGCTAGATAACACAAGTTACAAGACCTTTTATGGCCATAGAGTACTTAATGGTACGGGAAGGAACTTTTTTAGTTGTTTGTAAATGGTCAGTGAAGGAAATGTATGGCATTTTACTACAAATGTAATGTATGAAATATTTATTATATACTAGTACAAATGTGGACACATATCAGTGTGGATAGTATGTTCGAATGATTGACAGTATTTTCTGACAAAAAAATTTCTACGGTTTTTTTTTCCATAGCGTTCTATGTTAAACTGTGTTCCACAGTGACAGCCATCCTGAATATCAGACCAGTACCAAATACTAAAAAAGGTGTAGTGCCGGTTATTCAATATTTGGTTTTTATGTTCAAGATTATCATGGAGAAGACACTTGTTGTACATGTTATATCGATTACCAAATGATTCTGTTAGAGTATGTTCCACAACTTTGCTTTTGGATAAAAGCAAACACTCAACATTAGTAGAGAACCACAAAAGCTGCATTTATGCATTATATGTGATTTTAATATGCAAGATCAATTATAAAAACCTGTTTGTATGTTCTTTTCGTATGGTTCTGATTATGTCTGTTGTTGTGTGCATTTCTTATATACTAGTACTAGTATGTTAAATATTGTATAAAAATTCCGACGTCCAGCATACTTGACGGGCTAGTCGGCAAAATGTATTTTGTATTTAATTTGTATATATTATAATTGTTTATGCAAAACGTACTTGACCTATTCATCGTTAATAGAGGTCATACATTTTCTATTATACTTTTCCAGTTCTTAACTTGGTACGAATTAAATTCTTGTTTTTTGGCTTGAGTCAATTCGAAAAACAATAAATATGATTATTCCATATTGATGGAACTTTATTAGGTTTTTCTATATGAATGGGATTTTGAATAAATAAGCATATTCACTTGCGGAAAAAACATATTCACCGCACAAAACGTCGCGTGCTTTTACGTGTATAATAACGATACAATGTTTGACGTTTAGTTGGTTTTGGTAAATAACTGTTATTTTGTACATATTTTTCTCGCTCGGAACATGAAATAAAACAATTACTGTCTTTTGTTTCGGTAAATATGTGATTTAATTGACTTTTGTCGCTGGCTTCAGTGAATATCAGTTTTTCAAAAGTCAATAAAACCACACATTTACCTCATCAAAAGACAGTAATTGTTTAATATTTCAATACATATTAATAAATATAAGGAGATGTGGTATGATTGACAATAAGATATCTACTGTACACACCAAAGATCAAGGTACAAAGATGGAAGCAACTAAAGGTCACTGTATGGCCGTTAAGGGCATACGATACAGTTACAGGGGAGGTAATGACGTTGCTAACGTAAAATGTTATTTTTGCGACATCAAACTGTGACATATCGGGAAAACATGCATTTTCGACGGATTTTTATCATTTAGACTGATTTAACTTGAAAACTGGTTCATGGACCCCTCTTTTTTAAAATAACATTAGGTTTGATTACGTATGAAGATTATTTGTACCAATTTTTTTTTTTAAAAGTCACCGATGCAATTTTTAAAAAATTTGATAAATATACAGCAAATAATGCCGTTTTTTTGTTCTAAAGTCCTGAAACTTTGATAAAAATTTATTATTTACAAAGAATTGTTATATAATTTTAGAGCATACTTATGTTAAACAGATTTTCCAAATGTTTGTACAAAAATCCGTTTGTGTTTATCATTTGCAACAAAAAAGTTAGGTATGTCTATCCAAAGGATAGAAATGTAAAAAAAAAAACGAAATTTTGAGTAAATGTCTAAAATTTCGACCCCATTTATCTCTTAAAGTAGCACATGAAGGTATATTTTTTTATTACATATTTGAATTGCTTAGGTGAAAAATAGCTTGTATGCAAATTTTCGTCAAAAATTCACCGTGGGATCGAAACTATATCGTATGCCCTTAGCATTGGGCAACTATTCATACATGCATCATATACATAGTAGTCTATAAAAAAAAATTCAGAGATGAATTTTTGCATTCTGGGGAAAAAAGAGACTCGCCCCCTGATGATCATGTCGAACTAGCCGCTTAGTCTAACTTTAGATTTCAATCTTCTTTTCAATTCGACAACCTCGATGGTCTTGTGGTAGCGTGTTCGCCTCGAGTGCGGGAGGTCCTGGGTTCGAACCACTGCCGGGTCAAACCAAAGACTTTAAAATTGGTATTTGCTGCTTCTCCGCTAAGCACGCGGCATTAAGGAATAAGAGCAAAGACTGGTCGGTTCGGAGTCAGAATAATGTGTCCGGGTAAGGTGACATGTCTTCCTGTGCATTGGCTGTTACCTTGTGAACTAGCACGTTAAAAATACGCCTCAGCGTGTCGGTCTAGTACAAAGCAGGGTTAGTATCCATATTACATAAACATGTTCTCGTCATGAACATGCATATCAATTTGACGCTGGAGGTTAAGCAGCCATTCATCACCATCGTCATCTTTTCAGTACGAACAGTTTCTAAATATAAAAAAACAAACATAGTCTAGCAATGCTATCAAAATTTAAGATTAGTAATCATTGCCTTAGGGTAGAAACTTGAAGACGTAAAAGGAAATATAATTCTTTAGGAAAAATAAAACTATCACCCAGATGTGAACGACTTTGTCAGCTTAGAGGACTAGGTGCATTTTTTTTCTCCAGTGCCCTCAATATAGCCAATGGTGAAAACTTTAATCAATTTATCATCACAGACTAATGACCAATCCTTATTTGTCATTATTTTATTATATTTATTCCTAATGGAAAAGAGATTATCAACACATGCAATTCCCTACATTTTCACTATTAAATGTAACGAAAATGGTTTTGAGTACACTTAAACGCTAAGTTTAAACTGGTTGTAAATTGATTAGACCCTAATCAATTTATGTTTTATAACACTTAATCTGTTAAACCATTTTTGCATACAATTTTATATCTAAATTTCAAAATGTTGTCATAGGTTGAATGAACCACCAATAGGAACAGGTTGGTTGTATTGGTATAAAATTGTATGAATAAATGTTGGCATAGGTTGAATACTTTTTAACAGATTCAGTGTTATCATAACATAAATTGATTAGGGTCTAATCAATTTACAACCAGTTTAGACTTAGCGTTTAAGTGTACTCAAAACCATTTTCGTTACATTTAATAGTGAAAATGTAGGGAATTGCATGTGTTGATGATCTCTTTTTCATAAGGAATAAATATAATAAAACAATGGCAAATAATTATATAAGGCTTTCTAGGGATTTTCATCTATTTATATCAAATATCCACCAGTTGAAAGCTCATTAGTAAAATCCAACAATGATCAAAACATTTAATGATAATTAAATAAATTCCTTCAAATACATTGACATATTGACAGTAGCACTATTGAAACACATATTTCATAAATACTTAAGTAAAATATCATTATTGAATGTTCACTAATACATATAACATTATTAACACAGATACAGATTTAGATAAAGTTCAGTAAGATTTCTCAAATAACCCACTAATAAATATGTAGAAGATATGATGCTGCATCTGCGTATCCACTGGTGTCATGTTGTTATCTTGCAGTCTCTGTCTTATGTCAGCTAGCCTGTTGTCAATTTCGATGTATTTTCTTTTACGTTGACGACGTTTTCCACCTGCTGAGTATTGAATGATTCTTACCTCTATAGCAGCTCGCTGTTTCTTCAGTAGTTATTAAGTTGAAGATGTTTGGGTGTGGGTGCTCTACATGATTCTTTAATTTATGATGCCATCCTTCTAAGTGGTTGTTAGTTCTTGTTTCTACTGTTTCGTAATGGTTCCAAATGTGGCGGTTAGTCTTAACCCAGTATTCGGTAACATAGTCTGTAAATTCTAAAGTTTTGATGTTTGTGTTGGCAGTTATTAAACTTTAAATAATAAGTAATAATTTTATTTGATAGTTATTTTAAATTTCATTTGAATTAAATTAAACTAAAATTGTTTATGTTGTGTTAAAGTTTGGTATTGTTTATTGTATGATACATATTTGTATATCAAAATAATTAATAAAAGTTATCTTATAAACCACAAATAGAATAGCATTTAAACTTTTTTTTCAATGTTCTGTTTTAGAATTTTTGTCCTTTATTATTAATTTAGAGTTTACTTCAACACAATGTTGCAGGATCAAGTGTAATTTTTGTTAAATTAGATTACCGATTCATAATTATCCATTACTTGATAAAAGTGTCAATTAAAAAATACAGAGTTATCTCTTCCACAACCAATGTTATGCGTGTGTAATGGTGTTGAACGTAATTAACATTTATCAGATATGGGCGATATGAAAAAGAGTTCTATGAACGTGTGAAGAATCGTGCTTAAATTTGTAATGCCCAATGTAATCTTGTGGTTATGAAAGAAAGAATAACGAATATAAAAAAGAACTCCTAGCACAGACAAACCTTTGTAACTTGAACACATACGACTATCCCACTGTAATGTGATCGGTAAAATAGGATACAATCCTGCAAAACTGTATAGAATATTATATATTTTTTGACAGTATATGTTTAAGATACAGTCACATATAATAACTTACTTAAAGTTGTTAATGATTTGGAACAAACACTTCCACAAGCCACCATTGTGTAATAAATTCATTTGTAGCCACAATGGCATACAAAGTAAAAATGCAAAAATACCGAACTCCAAGGAAAATTGAAAACGGAAAGTTCTTTGTCAAATGGCAAAATCAAAAGCTCAAACACTCGACAATTGAGTGATTGACATATATTTATAGAACAACTGTGACAGTGGCGCACATTTTTTAGATACTTTCATCTTTTCTCGTGTAATAGTATAATATATATTATTCCACTGTTTAAACATATTGATAGTAAAATCAATATTTGATTGGTTGAGACTATCCCACGTGTCATTGAACAAATCTTCATATTCCATTCTGAGGATCATATTCCCCTCTGAAATGTCGGGATTACTTCGTGCGAAGTTACGCGCGGTTTATGTACATAACGTTTTGAACTTCTTATTTTTTCTTAAAATAGCGATAGCAAAAATCATTATCATGTTCAAATTTATGACGATAAAACAAACAGACTTATAATTAAATTTTGATCCTTAGTGTTTATCAATGAGTATGTCGTGTTTAGTTTGACTTACAAAAACAAGCGGATAAGAAAAAAATGTATGCGAAATAATATTTAATGTATTGATAGTAAGCAAAGCACAGGCAGTGGAATAAAACATTCATTTTCCTTTGCCTCGGGAGATATGAAGATTTGCTCACCCTCGAAAAATCATATTTCACTCGGGCAGAGCCCTCGTGAAATATGAATATTCTTGGGTGAACAAATCTTCATATCTCCCTCCGGCACGGGAAATAAATGTATAGTATTATATATTATAATAGTATTAGGATGGATAGTTATATAACAAAAACGGACTATAACTAAATTGGTTTTGGTAAAAGCAAAAACAAACATTGACTTATGTTGTCATTTCAGCACTTCCTTTAAATTATCCCAGAATAAAGTGTTACCCAATGGATCATTAGGATACTCAATGTACGACTGCTTATGTACTTTTTCAATAACACATAAAGGTAAATTAATTGCTGACAAGTCAACAAGAGAAACAAGGATAAACATATTTTCGCAATCTCTTGAATATATGCTCTCCATTCGTGCCATATTATATTCAAACATACACCAGTATGAATCAAGATAGGTCTGAGATAATACTGCAACCACATTTCGACTATTGTGAATTCCAGAAGTAATGTTTGCGGCAATATCCTTACCTGGTTGAAAGTCTCTCTTGTGGATACACAATTTCAATTTTGCATCTTCTTCTAAATTTAAAAGAAGATGATTATGTACAAAAACTGCATCTTCCTCTTCATATGAGATAAAAGCATCGTATTCGTACTCCTCGTCATCGCACTTTTTTCGTGAGGAACTTTGATATTTATTCTTTGTCATATAATACATGAATCGTAGTGTCCACCTGTGTCTATAGACTAAACCGCATAGCAAGATCAACACAAAAAATATAACGAAGATTGACAATACAACAATTAAGTCTGTGTAAGAGGAACACTTCTTTTCTAGAATTTCATATACCCTTTTTGGTTCTTTCAATAATTCCTTGTTGCCGTTGTACAATTTGCATTTGTTACTTTGTAACTTTGTAAATTTTATTTTTGTTTGTGACATCCATTTGACAAATTGTATGGTATCACACGAACATATCAAAGGATTATCACTCAAATCCACTGTCAAGTTTGGATTTGACTTTATAATCGTTTCAAGTTGACCACGTGCCCTCGAATTTAGACTTGAAAATCTATTCTTTGAGAGATCTAAATGCGAAAGATTTTGCATATGACTTATTTGAAAACTCAAATCCTCCAGTAAATTACCACCAATGTTGATTTCCGTGAGCATTGTTTGAAATTTGAAAAAGTTGTATGGTAAATACGGTATTCGATTGTCTGCTAAATTCAATACTGCCAGCTTAGGAATATGCTGCAGAATTTCACCATGCATGTCATCGATGAGAACAAATCCCAGTAAATTATTATGTATAAGTAACGATTTTAAATTCGGGGAACTCTTAAAAAAATCCTTTGACACGTTGGAACAAAAATTGTTTGAAAGATCGAGGTGAATTAGTTTCTTGTAAGTAAGCAGAGGTCCAATCCAGGAATAAAAAAGATTAAATCCAAAATCGAGATATGCTAATGAATTCTCTGACACATTATTTGCTTCTATTTTAAATCGAAACAAACTGTTTCTGAAAATAAGTTTCTGTAATTTGGAAGAAATATTAAACGGCAGTGTATTGGGTTTCAATTGTCCATAACGTTGTACTTCATGTTGATTAGGTGTGTTCGATAAAACTGGTAAAGGATCTGTTTGGTCCTTTTTTACACATATTTCCCCATAAAAATCCTGAAGATCATGACTGTTGAACTGAAGTGAGATATTTATGAAAGTTATTGGTACTACGTAAAATTCAGAAAAATAACTTCCAAAATGAAACATATTGTCCGATAAATATACACTTCTTAACGTGATTGGAAGAGATGATAAGGCACCCTTCTCGAAAAGCTGAATTCTGTTGCTATCCATGTGCAACTCAGTAAGATTTGTGTGCCTTAAATGACGAATATGTGATTTTAAAACAATTGTATCGGGCTCAAAAGTTCGATGTATTTTGTTTAATTTCAGAATCTTGATAGAAGTTGTTTGAAGATCATAGGTAATATTCTCTGCCCCTGCAAATTTAAGGCAAAAGTTAGAAGAGGCGTCTAAAAATGTCAGGTTTGACATAAATTTTAATGTTCCTCTATAGATATAAGATATTTTACAAGCGGACATATCAAGATGTATTAGATTTGGAATAGTTTGAAAGGTTTCCGGAGTCATTGTTTTACATTCGCATTCACCAGACAATCCAGAAATGTCCAATGTTTTCAGATTAATAAGTCCTTTAAAACTGTTAAACATATGGTCTTGTTCTAGTATTTTAAAGTCCATTCGCAATGTTTGCAAGGAATATGGAAAAGTTATATTAAGTTTCAGCCAATCAAAATAATTATTCTTCTTAATGTTTAAATATTTCAGAGCAGGTATGGACTTAAAAAAATTTTCGTCTACATCTATTATTTCGTTGTTGTAAAGAGTCAATTCTATAAGGTTATAGGCTCCATAAAATGCGTCTTTTCTCAAACCTTTCAGTTTATTATTCATTAAACTAATATTACATAGTTTATTGTTGTTTCTAAAATGATAATCTGGTATAGTTGATATCAAATTGTTATCCAATATAACCACTTTGATACTTTTGGGAAAATCTGGAATGTGTGTTAGATGTGCATTTGAACAATCTGCTTTATAAACTTGTTTCCAAGTATTGAAGAAACACTGGCATCTGTTTTCAAACTCGCATTTTCTGCCAGCTACAAACCCAAAGTAAAGCAAGAGAGCAACTGCATTGCAAAGATATCCCATAAGTGGTCTGTGTCTGTAAATAAAAGATACACATCTATATTAGGGGTGTCAACGAGTACTCGAGTATTCCAGTATCGCTCGGTAGTACCAAGTATCGAATACTAAAACGATACTCGACTAATCGGTTTCCTGTTAGAATATTGCTGTCTTCTTTATATAAAACTGATCTTCTTGAGAACCTCTTTCGGAAAATTAAATAGGCATCACTGATTAATCATACTAGTAAATGAAAATACATTTTTTTCGAATGATTGTGCTAAACTGTCATTTAAAATGCCTCCGAAAATACGTGGGCTATACCTAGGCTAACACTTTAAACTAAACATGTCTTAGCCATTCCCTCACATCAGTACCGTGAGAGAAAATATTTTCGTCTGCAAGACTGTAATTTACAAAATTGCAAACCGACTGTCCCCAGTAATAGTTGACAAGAAAATGTTTCCAAATAAAAAAAATTTGTTGCATCCTCTGGTTACCCTCAGTGAATAGTGAAACTTCTAATCCTTGCGCCTTTGTAAACATTAATTATTTTTTGTTAACGATTACCAAATACTATTGTTTGATATGGTTATTCTTGTTATAATTCTTAAATAGGTGTTTATTAAATTATATTTATTAGATTATTCTTTTTTTTGTCTTTTTTTTTTACGTAATAAATATTTGTAGGTAATGAACTATTAATTATGGTGTGTCCAAGATACTTATGTAAATGGTTTTTCGTCCGTTTAACAACAAACCACAGAAAGAAAATACGTATTTTTATGTTTCCGTGGTGAAGATACATATTCCCGATTGAGTACTCGAGTATCGCTTTATAAAACCAACGAGTGATCGATTAGTGATTGTTCACCGAATTGGCATATATATATATATATACGTTGTTTTCAATTTAGACTTGTTTATATTTTTTCGTTTGGGCTTGTATTATATTTGCCTTCGGGTTTATATGATCCGTTCATCCTATTTTGACTCCTCAAAATTCAAGAGTCTATCCCAAATTGAGGTAAATTATGTGGCCTTCTAATAACCGTTTCGATTCCAAATTGAGTCTATCCCAAATTGAGGTAAATTATGTGGCCTTCTAATAACCGTTTCGATTCCTAATATCACTGAAGAGACATTAATTGTCGAAATCCGGATATGGTGTACAAAAACCTTTGCACCTTTTGTTTGCGGTATACCATCTTTTCCGCAAGTTTATTGTTTTCTGTTTAGTATTAAATTTATAAATAAGATCCATTTATTACATCGGTGATCCGTTTATTTGGCAATCGCCAATGGCAGTCAGCAGGGTTTAAGAACATTTGTTGTTCGACCTGTTAGTCAAATGCGTTTTGTTAAAATATACTTTTTCACTTTTTTGGTCTTTTGGAAAATGTTGTTTGTGCTGTATTTAGAGCCCTCTAACAAGAAATTTGTTTTGCATTCACACGTATAAAAATTGCGGTTTTTATCCAATGCAATCATAGGTTTGAACGTTGTTTTCAATTTAGACTTGTTTATATTTTTTCGTTTGGGCTTGTATTATATTTGCCTTCGGGTTTATATGATCCGTTCATCCTATTTTGACTCCGCAAAATTCAAGAGTCTATCCCAAATTGTGGTAAATTATGTGGCCTTCTAATAACCGTTTCGATTCCTAACATCACTGAAGAGACATTAATTGTCGAAATCCGGATATGGTGTACAAAAACCTTTGCACCTTTTGTTTGCGGTATACCATCTTTTCCGCAAGTTTATTGTTTTCTGTTTAGTATTAAATTTATAAATAAGATCCATTTATTACATCGGTGATCCGTTTATTTGGCAATCGCCAATGGCAGTCAGCAGGGTTTAAGAACATTTGTTGTTCGACCTGTTAGTCAAATGCGTTTTGTTAAAATATACTTTATCACTTTTTTGGTCTTTTGGAAAATGTTGTTTGTGCTGTATTTAGAGCCCTCTAACAAGAAATTTGTTTTGCATGCACACGTATAAAAATTGCGGTTTTTATCCAACGCAATCATAGGTTTGAACGTTGTTTTCAATTTAGACTTGTATATATATATATATATATATAAGTACGTCTGAACCAGTGACAACTCTTCAACAGATTTATCCATCGGATCACCAGCCGTGATGGTGATACGTGGGTGTGTACATTCTGTATATACAACTCGTCTAAACATCAACCCAACAATGTGAGATCTGTAAATTTGCTTTTGCAAATTTTTATATTAGGCATGAAGATGAAATTGATTGCAGATTAGCTAAATTATCTATCCCAAAGGATCGCAGGATGCAATAACAGAAATAATCATATGATAAGTACGTCTAAACAAGTGACAACTCTTCGACAGATCCATCCATTGGATCACCAGTAAAGGTGATATACGGCTGAAAACACATATTATATTCATAATAACTCTAAATATCTGCACAAAAATATAAAATCTGTAAATTTGCGGAAGTAAATTTTTGTTCTTCCCTCGCTGGGATTCGAACTCCTGCTATTGGGATATCGAGACTGTATCCTGCGATCCTTAGCGATAGATAAATTAGCTAATCTGCAATCAATTTCATCTTCATGCTTAATATATCATGTACTGTGTTATAACTCTAGATTCTATAAACGAGGAAACGTAACACTAGGCCACCGAAAGCTGAATTTTTAGTTCAGTCTAGGTGGTCGAGTGGTCAAGAGCGCTGGACACAGTGCAGGCGGTGTTGTATCGATATCACAATAGCATGAGTTCGAATCCCGGCGAGGGAAGAACAAAATTTGCTTCCGCAAATTTGCAGATTTACCATTGTTGTGCAGATATTTAGAGGAATTATGTATATATATATAAAATAGAAAAAATCCCTTAATTTCATTAAATTATATTTTTCTCATTAATAGTCCCTTTAAAACGCGTAATATTGAAAATGTTCACATTAAATTTTAACATATATAAACACTTACACTTCTTCTTTTGTCAATATTTGAAATTTATTTTGAACACTAGAGTGTCGTCAATATGCAGCTCCTGTCTTCTAAAATCCTGTCAGTATATTTCGTCTTTGTCGATCTTAACTGTTGTGTACCAGTACATTACGAATACTGTAAATGACAGCAAGTTTTAAAGAGGGCGCAGCAGTTTTTTACACAATATTTATTACCAATCTACACAATATACAAGGAAGTAGGTATAAGAAATAAAATACTTCAGTAATAAATTAGGTATACATGTCAGAAGTCATAAACAAGTCTTCGGTTACAATGACGATAAAAGAGTAATGTGACAAAGATCAATTTCGCTTATGTTAGCAATTTTAATTTTATAATGGTATGTATGAACTAGTCCACCGTAGTGGTATTTTAGTACTAAGTAAATCGGATACATATCAATTCATAACTAGAATGATTACCAATGGCATTTTCATGACGTCAATATCTATAAAAATGTACCTATGGCATTGAACATAAGATGTATTTGTTTTCATCCATTTTAAATGAAAAATATATATTCTTCAACTAGTTTAATAGTGCCATCTGAATTTGACTTGTATTCGGTATTTTTGTTATACATTTTTAATAATTGAAACCTCGTTAAACTTTTTAGAGCAGCTAAATATTTGACAAGTAGTCAATCGTCAAATATTTTTGCATATGTAACAGCTGACAGCTAACATATATACCATATATACATTGGTTATTAGTAAATACTGAGCACATGAAGTTATCACAAACATAATCATTTCAATGAGAGATGTTCATATAGCCAAACATTGTCGTATTTTAGTTGGTATACTTGCATGTGCTCTATCTTTGCGGATAAAAAATATATCTGATAATTGACAAAATTCATTTTATGTATTTTTATGAAAACGCTATTCGCAACTACTGATTTTAAGATACTATTCTTATGTGTGCTGTAAGACCATAGATAAGGCGAGGGTTGTGCGCTTACAAACATGTTTATACTCACCGCATTCTTTATGTGCATGTCCCGAGTGAGGAGCCTGTAATTCAGTTGTTTTCGTTGGTTCATGTCCGTCATACAAGTTTTTCGTAAATTTGATTGTTATAGATTAAGGCATTAGTTTTTCCGTTAGAGTTTAGTCACATTTTGTTTCATGTCGGGGCCTTTTGAATCTGACTATATGGTATGGTTTTTCATTGTTAAAGGCCGTATGTTGACCTTTTATTTCATTTGAACACTGGTGGATAATTGTCTCATTGGCAATCATGCCACATCTCCTTATTTTTATAATTATCATATGTAAAAGTGCGGTATGTGGAATGATTGTAAATGACACAACTTTTCAACAGAATCCAGATCACTTGAAAGCAATACTACCTTCAACATTGAGAAAAACGTATAGTGTATAGTCAGCTTTAAAAGGTTCGATCAGAACAAAATGTGACAAAATCAAACGAGAAAACCAACGGCTTGATACATGAAAAACATATTCACGACAAGAAAGAACGAACATGACAGCAACCAGCGAAAACTACTGAATTACAGGCTTTTGATTTATGACCGGCACATACAGAATGTTGTGGGGTAAACTTATTTCTCAGCACTTAATCCTCTCATAACCTGAAGATAATTAACAGCAAAACATTAAAACTAACTGTAATAAAAAAAATTTAAATGACTGAACTAAACAGATTGGCGCGAAACATAAATCTTAGAGTACTAGAAGCTATTTCAGAGCTAATTACAAATAATAAATGAATAATATTTTCCAAACTCATTAATCAGTATACATCAGACGGATTTAGCGTAAAGAAAAGAAAAGAATGACATGAGACGTAATGCCAACATAAAAGTCAGGATCAATTTAATGGAATTTAGACAATCTTTATCAAATTTGGCTATAAACAGCGATTCGTTAGAATACAGTAACACGTCTCTGCTATTAAATGGGAAGCAAATTTTGCTCATATGAATACATTAAACATGTCTAAAAACGGTATTGACGAACCGTACATAGATGTTGTCAGTACGTCTTCCAGTAAGTATATCTTGCATGTTTATAGTTTAAATTTGTTGTGTACGAGTGGTAGAAAAGAAATTTGCAATAAAACAAAATGTAAAAGGACCATTTGATTTAGGAACACATGTATGATTAGATTGTGTTGAAGTGTAGTGTATAGAGCCCAAAATTAAAAACTGCCAATCAAATAGAACAGACAACTAATAATACGTAGTCTATTAAAAACATCCAAAGAGTGTTTGACAATCCAAAAATAATTTATTCTATTATTTTATACACTTTAATACAAAAAAATTTGAATTGTTGTAAGGAACTAATTGAAAGCACTGAAAGACGTCACTAGTAGCTGAGATGCAACAGTGTAATGATTGTTAACTATTTGAGACTCTGTGAAGCACACGGCCTTGAATGTAGACGAGTTTATAGTTTATTCTAAAGAACTTTCATGTCGTATATATATCTTACCACTATCCCTTTGTTAACTCTTTTGTTGGCTGGTATGAACACATAACGGTTTGAAAGAACTTAAAATGAGTTTTCATCATATTACTTACTTTTAATATGATGCTTAAGGGATATTAAATTGTTTAAAATATTTTATGATAAACGATGTTCTTGATAAAACAATAGAATAGAGAATGGAAACGGGGTATGTGTTAAAAACAAAAAACCCGACCAAAGAGCAGAAACCAGCCTAAGGCCACCAATCGGTCTTCAATGCAGCGAGAAAAATACCACACCTGGAGGTGGGCTGCAACTGGCTCTTATACAATAGTGTATGCTAGTTCAGCAAAATGGACGCCACGCTAAACTCCAAAACATACAAATGAACGAAAAGTTTTAAAATATACAATGTTTACAAGACTAACAAAAGGCTAGAGGCTCCTAACTTGGGACAAGTGTAAAAATGCGACGGGGATAGATATGTTTTTGAGATGTACGCCCACCCCTTTACCTCTAGTCAATATGGAATAAACAAACACACAGCAAAATGCACAGTATACTCACTTTAAAAGAAGTCCGAGTCCGATGTTATAATAGGTAACAGAAGAAACTAAGTAAAATGACAATGATAAACACAAATTAATAAAGGACTATTAGCAGTGACCATGTAGTACATTTAATAAACTAAGTACAAATAGAACCACAAAGCATCTTATTCCACGTCCCCTTTGATTCCGTTTAAGATGGCAATGCAAAATGTTTTGAAGACATTTCCTTAACATTATGCAACAGGTTACAGTTTGATCTCACATCAACTATATTTTCAGCTCTGAAAATTGCGATTAATGTCATAAGGGTCAAACGCAACTCAGACATTTTTATCACAACACTGTACTTAAATGCAAAAAATAATTGTTAAATGGTATTATATTTTGGTATTATGCTTCACGTTGAAATGACAGATTTTGATTGGCTTATACGAGGGAGATAATTTACTCTATCCCATGGCTCAGCGGGAGACAATTATTGGAATGTCACCCTCTGGTGCAGATCAATCAAAATCGATAATTTACAGGAAAATAAATTGAATTTACATTAAAAAATGTTAAGGCAATGCTAAAGTTTTACGTTTTGGCCTCAGAACTTTTTCGTAGACTTTCAAAATAACAGATGAATCTTGCTTACTTTTGTTGTTTTTTTCTAATAACTATAACGTTGTCATGTACATGACGTAATAGTTACTTTAAATTTAAAATTTAAAAGTCAATAATGGCAGGAACAATCAGTATTATAAATTAAATAACACCTAGCTGATATGGTGATAGAGCTTATTGGTACCCCTCGAATAAACTTTGTCAACCTTGGCTTCGGCTCAGTTAACAGTGTTTTCTCGGGGTAACAATCTGCTCTATTATCCTCTCAGCTATGTGTTATTTATATATTATTATACTTCACGTTAAAAAAGAGGGACGAAAGATACCAGAGGGACAGTCAAACTCATAGATCGAAAACAAACTGACAACGCCATGTCCAAAAATAAAAAGACAAACAGACAAATAATAGTACAGATGACACAACATAGAAAACCAAAGACTAAGCAACACGAACCCCACCAAAAACTGGGGGTGGATCTCAGGTGCTCCGGAAGGGTAAGCAGATCCTGCTCCACATGTGGCACCCGTCGTGTTGCTTATGTTATTACAAATCCGGTAAATAGTCTAATTCAGTAAGTCACATTCGTGATCCAATGAAACTTATCGGCAAACACAAATATAATGTAAAATGAAAATGAAACTTTTACACTTAGTCTTTTATGTTCTATAATGTTGAATTCTTTTATTGTCACTTTCAGTTATAATTTGCTATCCACACTTTTCAGTCTACTCTTACGCCAGTGAACGCACAGATATCAAAAATGAATTCATCAACTATTGTGGCCCCGTAAAATGTAGGTCCTGTGTCATTGTCGGACGCAGTGTTATTTTAACTTCTGGTTTACTGCTGGTTTCAATGGAACCAAATATCTGAAAATCGTCATCTTCGATCATCATTTCATTACTCGTATCGTCAAACGTAGAAAATTTATATTTCAGTTTCTCATCCTTTTGCTCATTTCTTATAATACTGAACCAGCAATCGTTATCAGTTTCACTTCCAACCGTCTTTAGGCAAATACCCATACTGTTACTAGAAAAATATGGCACTTTCCAAAAGATGACAAGGCACCTTTCTTTGTTTTGTATTAGCCAAGAGACAATTCCACTTGATCCTGTCATAGTATTACATGTACGGTAACCGTACTCATGTATTATCTAAATTGAAAAAAAAAATGTAGATACATTGTAAGGATTATTAATTGAAAAATCTGTGGATAGTATGCGACAGCAGAGCCGTATTTAGAATGTTATCCAAATTGTCTGCCATTACTAAAATTCACACAAGTCCCTCAAAACCACTTCAAAAAATGACGTCATCAATAAAAAGTGATTATTGCATGACGCAAGAATGTTATTTGAAGGAGTGGTAATCGAAGGCAGATATAGATCAATAGGACACAATTCAGCTAAATTCCTAAAGTGTAAATACGCCTATTCATGAAAAAACATGACGGTGATAGTTATCAAAGGTACCAGGATTATAATTTAATACACCAAACGTGCGTTTTATCTACAAATACTACACATTCTAGTTTTTTAACGAATAATTTATTTTTGGAAACAGATAACTTTTAAAACTAACATCAGCACTAAGCTCTTTTTGTAATATCGCTATGCAAATCATCAGAATGTTCATGACTGTTTGACTATCGTTGTCGTACAAATCAGATTGTCAACATACTGCAGATTTTGTCACTAGAGGAACTGATAACTTTTTTTCTAGGACAGATAATATTTAACCAACTGAACAAAATTCAAATCATATATATTAAAACATATTTAAAATCAAAGCGAATTAACACATACAAATTGGGATGATGAAAGCTATCATTTGGTATTAAAGTCAATTGTCAGAGGTCATGGTCAGGTCAATAGTGCTTAGAAACCACCTTTTAGAAATTTACTCTTACAAAAAGTTCAGGGGCTAAAATAGTCATAACGTCTTTAGTTGCCATTCTTATATACTAGTATTGGACAAGTACCTAACAACGATATATTCTTTGGTTCTTGTGAGGAGAATAGGATTTTGATACCAAAAATGTAGTTTTTTCTTTTGATTTGAATTCTAAATTCCTTGTATGTATATATTGGACGGAGGAAATTCATCGACTTCATTGTATTTAAACCTAAATAAAAAAACGACATATTCATGATATTGCATGTCAGGACTACTGGACTGGTGAAAAATCGGCTTGTTACAAGTAAAATGCAAATTCCAATCACGAAAAATCCCTCTGCCAGTCCGCTTCCCCCTCCCCGGAAATAAAAAGGTTCAATTTTTAGACATTCCTTTCATTTTATTTACTTGGCAGATATTTGGAGATTAGGGGAACATCCTTAAAACCATTTGAAAGGTTGTTAGGTGTGTTGGCTGTTTTGTTTCAAAATAACAAGCTTATTAAAAGACGGAAAGTCACTTATCAAATGGCAAAATTAAAAGCTAAAAACACATCAAACACTTTTGTCCTGACATGCAATATCATGAATATATCGGTTTTTTTTTATTTAGGTTTAAATAGAATTTGAAATATTTCGAAATACAAGGGTTGCTCTACCCCGGAATTTTTAAGTTTCTTTTGTTTTCAAATTCTTAATAGATTTGGTCTTAAAACAGTATGATTTGAGCGACATGAGTAATTGCAAGACGAAAGCCACGTCTGGTTTGATAAAATTTCGCTTTATGGGTTTTTATAACGTTTGACTTTGTCGCCCGAAATAATAATTTAAGATCATTATAGATTATCAATGCATGCTTTTTCAAACGAGGCGGTGCTTCTACGCTACAATCTCATCGAAGGACGACATCCCTGATATGAGATGTGGCTGGGAAACATCCTCGAGTTTGAAAAATAATGATAATTTGTTTATTGCTATTTTCCCTTTGACGTCGTTGATGTTTACATTGACAAAGGCACGTGCATCCTTAGTTTCTAGAGATAATCTAGCATGAAACAATTATTACTAAAGAGAGCAAAGGAAAAATACACCAATTAGCGATAATATTTGATACACGAAACAGTAAGTGCTAAGAATTTACTAGTGCTTCTTGATGTCCTGGTCTAACTGAAACAGCGGGAGTTGACATGTATCCTCTCGAATATGTCATCATTGCTCGTGTGCTCAGATGATATCTTGTCCAATTTGTGATTTCAATACCAACAACAATATTGTAATATATATTTGTCATCATTGTAGACAGGTTTGTTCCATGCAAAGAAGGACCGAGTCGTGTTGAATCTCTCATAGACTTCATCATCTGTGAATTCCACGTGACTCGACCTGTACTTTTGTTTTCATTAGAGTTGTTTCCTGTATGAGTGGAGTAAACGTTGCTTGTTTATTAGGAAGAAATCATATTATGCAATTTAACGTTTTAAGAAAATATCACAATCTATGAGAGGCGCTATGCAACACTATTTATGAAGCATTGCAATTGAATTATCAGTGAATCGAGAATAACTGATAATCTTTATGGTCATTTTTTTTTCAGTTTGTTAGTTAATCGCCCCAATTTACACATCAGTTATCTCTAGAAAAATGTGTTTTATCTTTATTATTCTTACCCAAACATTTGCAACTTTTATTAAACATTTTATTTTCATTGACATCTATCATCAAATCCACAGTTAACATGTCGTATCTAAGAAGTGAGCGTTCATATTGAATGGCTCGGATCCACGAAATATCCCGTAATTTTTTTTTATTCTAATGCATTATTTCTATTTGCGATACATTAGGACAGGAACAACAGTTCTGTAATGTTTTGTTTCAATATTTCAATTTTCGTAGAATCACAGCTAGGATATCATACATGTGTATCGTGCATGAATAGGTTACGAAAGAAGTCTCGGCAACATCGTCTATCGAAGCGAAAACCAAGGGGAAAACTTCTAATGGACCAATCCCATTTAAAAATTTGAAGATATGCAAATCATATAACAATTTTAAATTGTATCGTTGTGGTGTGCACACCAGTCTACATATTTTCTTTGTTACTTTCAAAATAATAGTTTTGTCTGATTAATCATATATAGAATGATATAAAAATCATAATCATTGAAATTAACGGTAAAGTTATTTACAAAATTAGAATACATGAAAAGACAATGAAAAATTTAACTATATTCTAAACAATTATCTTTCGATGTTGTCTCAATTGCTACAAATAATGTGTGTACGATCCTCTCAGTCTATTTTAATTAAGTTTAGAGTGGGTGGCGCATATTCGCCTTGGACACATTTTCGCCGTTTTGCTATTTTTTCTGTAAAATGTGTGTGCCTTTACCCAATACTTGCCTAAATAGATGGTAAAGGCTGTTTGTAATGTTACAACTGTTGATATTCCTCTTCATCCCATTTCCAAGGTTATTCCCTCATATTGAGAAATACGCAGGTGTTTTTAAATGATTTTGGCAATTATGTAAGATTTATATGGCAATCATGCGCAGTCTAAAGTAAATATTTGTGAGAAAAATCGTATAGGAATGATCTCTCAAGCTAATTCACATGTAATTGCAAACATTCGTTTTTATAATATTCCAGGATAATGAGGATGGTCATATCATACACTGCGGCGAAAATGTGTCCCCCATGGTACACGAACAACTTGATTTCCTCTTGAGTTTGCGTTCATTTTTAAAACAATTAACCCATGTTTTGAAGATAATTTCTTTATCAAACATTTTTTTCATATAGTTAAATTTCTGAAACCTTCATAAAAAGTTCCAAATATTCGAATGTAGGTCGGATGTAAGTGGAAATGAACGATTTATGCGGCGAATATGGGCCTCTCACTCTAAGTGTCCTAAAATCGTTTCTTTTGATTGTTCTTCTATTCAACAATTTTAGCACTGAACGTTTTCTTCATTTATATAAGGGGACTCAGAGTAGTCAGTTTGAATACATCTACCACTGTTTGAAAATATTCTATAAATTTGTGGTTGAATTTGAGAGAGAAAGAGAGAGATATTTACCCATATTTGTTTCATCACTGTCACTGCTTTTACTGTCTTCAGTACCGTTTTGGTTTATGAATCTATTTAGACGAGTAGAAGCCATTTCCTCATTGACAACCTACAAAAAAACTTATTGATATGATTAAACGATTTTCTGTTTTTCGTAATCAGCTGACAGGTTACAGTCGATTATTCATTTGACTCCGTCGAACATTTCATAAATTATGTTATGGAAACTAACTCAGTTTAAAACTTTCCTTTAATAGGTCAGAACCACTAGATTTCTGACGTCAGAATACCTTTGCGTAGTAATTTCTCAAAAACAAAAATAAACATGGCCAGGAGAAATTGGCATATCAACTCAATGAACCACAATGCATGACCCATAATGTATTGTGGGTTTCACCGATTTTGATATCACTTAATAATACAATGAATTTGTTTAAAAAGTGTAATTTTGTATTGTTTCTCGAAATCTCAAAATTTTTTGTGTTCACACTACTGGAACAATGCCCCGTAGATTGGCCGTGAAAATGTCCGTAAAAATGCTGGTGATTTTTACAGTGTTTGTCACGGTTAATTTACGGTGGACCGTGAAACTTATCCGTGACAATGCCTTGGAATGACTGTCGTGAAAAGGCTGTGAAAAGGCCGTGAAGAGGTGCCACCTGAAAACTTGGGTGAAAAGACCGTAGAAACCCTGTGAAAAAAAAATCTACACCGTGAAAAAGTCGTGATAATGCATTATGTGCCCATTGTATAAAGACCGTGAAATGCAGATATAGTACAGTATATGCCTTTATTTGTCGTTAAAAGGCCGTGAAAAGGTGCCAACTGAAATCTTGGGTAAAGAGACCGTAGAAACCCTGTGAAAAACAAAAATGTACACCGTGAAAAAGTCGTGATAAATTATGTGCCCATTGTGAAAAGACCGTGAAAAGTACATGTACTACTGTGATAAACGGCCATTCACTGATTGTTAAAACTCCTGTAAAATGTTAAATATATTTTTCAGGCCATAATTTAACAAAAAAATTAAATGCTGTTTCAATCAAGTGAGGTGAAATGCCAGAAAACCTAGTGTAAACATCTACAGACAACTTATTTAAGTACAATGCAAGTGAGACTATGAAAAACCATATTAAAATGCTGTAATAATAATTGTGACAAAGAATAAAAATATTAATTTTAATAGAACTGTAGTAATTATGTAAAGAAAACATAAAAGCACACAAATGTCAATGTGATTACGTAGCTAAAGTCAGCTGTAACATGTATTATAGAAATTTTGTACATCTCTTGGGTCTGATTTTACCACTTCAGCAATATTTGTCTAATGTAATTATCCTTCACTTCACTGCCCTTTTGAATAACTATTCCAGAAAAACATTTATAGAAGTTCCTGTAAATTCCCAGGAAATACTTTTAACTGAAAAGCTCTTCTTTCCAACTAGATAAGAACTATTTTACATAAAGACTGCTATATCCTTTTGCTCTTCATTCCTAGAATAAATAAAGAAACATTACATATATCATACATGTATATAAAAAAACTATTTATATATTCAAATTAATTTTCGGCATTTATGTACATACATGTACTTAAAACAGCTACAATATTATTCCATGCAATACAGGACTTCACGGTTAATGACCCCTTATTGAATAGGGGGCAGATTTTCTACTGGAGGTGAAAATGGTATGAAAAATACTAAAAAACATCATTGAAACAGAACAGCCACTTGGAAACATGCATAAGTTTTCCCATATTTTCATACCATTTTCCAGAAAATCTGCCCCCTATCCAATATGGCATCATTAGTTAACGAAGTTCTGTATTGTCAATTTAATTTTTTTTTAGATTTTTTAAAGACTAAAGACACTTTTAAGACAGACTATTAAATTTAAATGTTTCTTTGAAGTAATAATATGTATGGCTAAAGCCAAACTTTTCTAGATTAAGTGGCTGTAATGAGTCACAGCTATTTATTTTACAGGGGGCCAGGGGCATAGCAACTTTTACTGCAGGCACATTCGCCATACCAATTATTTTTGAAACACCTCATTGCCATACCAATTATTCTTATGATATGGCACAAACCCTTCTAAAAAAGACATATTGCCGTACAAATATTAAATACTTTCCCTGCTACGCCTCTGATTAATCCCTTTTGAACTCTGTGTCCCGACGGCCAAGTCAGAAAATACTTAAATAGCTCCCGACACATTCAAAGGGGGTTACGCCTCTGATTATCAGAGTGAACTCCATTTCAGAGATACTTATTGCTATTATAATCATTTCCAATTATCTATGTCTATGTCTACATAGTGTACTGTACATCAATGTCATTTTTTTTATGTGGCCAGTGTGGGGAAAAAGGACCCCCCCCCCCCCCCCTCCCTTTTTTCCCCCAAATACATAAACAAAACAAAACCGTAATCGTATTTAAAGGATCCGGTAAGTCTTAGAAAACATTAACCGAAATGGTTAAAGGAATCAAGTGCAACAGATTCAAATATAAGTTAATATATCACATGCATGTTTGTGAGGTTTCTGCAAATTCAGTGAAAATCAGTTCAATGGAAATGCTCACAAACGTCATCAACATTTGGGTGATATGACGCATAAAAGAATAAAACATTAATAACTTAATTTACCTCAAACTTGCTGTCACTCGTCTTGCATCTATAAAGTAAATATTAATCGACCTTCGGCGTCTTTCAAATTTCCAACCTTGCGGAAATGTTACAATTACTCTAAAAGAAACACGAATCCGGATACGGTCTGATATTCCGGGAAAATCTCGTTTTTACATGTTTCGGTTCCAATTAAAATTGATGTTTACATTGTTTATAATAATGTACAGACGAGAAGCAAAATACTTTTCTTTAAATACAAAATATTTATTGGCACAGTCATTAGTTATAACAATGAATGGTTCCATTTAAAAGTCAGTCCTGTACAGTAGTATTGCATATAATACTATTTAAACAAACATATATTTATAATGAAAAGTTTATAGGATATTTAGAAAAATGTGAGTGGAAATAATTAGACCATATTACAATAATCACATGGGATGTTTTAAATCTGAATTAGGATAAGAAAAAATTGACATGAAAAAATATCACGGCCTTTTCACTGGTTTCAACAACCAGTGAAAAGGCCGTGATATTTTTTTATTAAGCATTAAAGGACAAATTATCACGGCCTTTTCACGGGATATTGAAATTTCACGGTCTTTTTATAACATCAAATATTTTTCACGGCCTTTAGAAATATTTTTTTTACAAAAGTCACGGGGTATTTTCACGGGGTTTTCACGGCCCTGTGATATTTCACAGACATTTCACGGCCTTTCATGGGCTGTTGTTACAGTAGTGTCATCTACTGTAATGCATGTAATGTATATACCATAATCTTCAATTTACATGCTCAAATATTAGAATTATTGTTCACAAGCTTCAGCATTCGACTTTTTATTTCGACTTGTCAAAGTAAGAAATAAAACGTGTTAATTACTGTTTTGCACTGTATCAAGTGTTCACCACAGAATGAAAATCAAAGGTGGAAGAGAAAGGTCAACAAAATCTGAGAGGGTGTGTTGCGTTGCCGAATCGTTCCTTGCACATAAATTATTCCTTATTTGTTGCAAATTTTATGCTCTACAAGTTGTTTAGCTAATTTGGAAAGGGGAGTCTCACATACATTTTGTAGTTGGTGCTATTAGTGGTCACCACACTTTTAGGAATCTATTAAACAGGGAGAAGTAAAAACGTATATGGCTTCCGAGATTGCAAGGATATTAGTAAAGATCCACATATTGCTTTTCATGTTATTAAGTATGCAATATACAATTTTATTATTTCAAGGGGCTTTCTTTAATGACAAATTTAGAACTTCTAATTATTTTAATTGCCTTTTGGAAAACCAAATGGTTTGATAGAAATGATAAAGGACTAAATAATAAAAAGCATATTTAGTCTTGCATAATTTTAAAGCCATTTCAATCAATAAGTCTATCCAGCATATTTGATCATATTTGTTATATAAAATGACAATATTAAAAAATTAACCCCCTTCTTTTCCTATAAAATGATGTAAAGTAAAGGAATTATATATATCCAGTTTTACTCTTTTCCTAGATATATTAATACTTTTAATGGGCGTAGAATAAATCGCAATCAGCGAAAATTTCGTACCAATAATACAAATATTTCGGACCTAATTATTATTTAAAAAAACAACGACAGACATTTTCTGTTAACCAAGCTCTGTTCTTTACTTGTTAATAATTTACATCAAATTTTAGAGATTGCAACACATTTCTATATTGCAGTCTTTAAAGTATGAAATCGTACAGATTATCATTGCATATTGTTATTCTAAGCTGTTTCCCAAAATTGATCGCTCTGAAGATAATAAAAAAAACATTTCATTAAAATAAAATATGTAAATAAAGGTTTTCATTTTGTCAATATTGCCTGTATTCTTAATGATCATTCCGTAAAAGATCAAATTCCTATTTATGTTGATAATACTGAGCCCCCTCTAATTTGTTATGTTTACAAAAAATCTACCGGAAATATGTGTTTAATTATAACGAAGTGTGTAAAGATTTTAATATCAGTGACAATACACCTACGTCATGAAATTGCAGTAATTTCAAATACATTTATGGCCCCAGTTCCAAAGTTATAACAGGAGACCTTAACATCGTCCATGACCGAAAGTTGAAATCATTCCTCAATAAAGGACCTAAATATCGCCCCCGTCAATCATTAATTGGAATGAGTGTCGTAACATCATTCACGACTCACTCCGTACTTACTGCACGAAATGGATAAAACGAGAAAAAGCTGACAAAAAATCCTTCAATTCTTTATTTTATTCAGTAATGAACATACTTAGCTGATATTCGTATTAAACCTTTTTAAAGAACATTTTACTCCTAACAACAACCATAATAGTTGTATTCCTCGTATCAAATCAAACATATGTTAAAAGAACTCGTCAAGAAATTTTTTTTTGTCCCGGATGATAAGGCTGCCAATAATATCATTATTCTTTGACGTAAATTTTATATTGAGGTTCTGCAAAAGGAAATCACGATTTCA